TACTACAAATGAAACCTGCCAATTTCAAACAGGTTTTTGCCAAATATAGAACTGTTACTGATTTTAAAATGCAACCAAAAATAATGTATACAATATACTGTTTAGACGTAAAAAATGCAACCAAAATTAATATAAATTCTGTATTTTTTTGCATATGAAAAAGGATGATTTTTAGTATCTAATATACAGAAATATTTACAATATACTATAAAATCTTACCAAAAATAACGTATACAATATACTGATTTCACGTATAAAATTTAACAAAAATTACGTAAATATTATACTGATTAGACATATAAATTCAGTATTTTTTGCATACGGAAAAAGATGATTTTCAGTATCTAGTATATGAAAATATTTACGAATTTATTATACTATTTTTCTACATTTATTATACATTTTTAAACTTATTATTTCCATATACTTTCCTTATACATATTATTTATAGGGCTGTCATTTTAAAATCAGTAACAGTTCTATATTTGGCAAAAACCTGTTTGAAATTGGCAGGTTTCATTTGTAGTAGAATGTCAGTAACATAAATGGTTTTTTCATTGAATTGCATATCAGCTTTGTATTGAGAGAAATCACAAAATGTTTCGATCTTAAGATCAGGAATAGTCATATATAAAGCTGCAGCAGCCATATCTGATGTCACAAAGTAGACAATTACTGAATGCGTTAAATTGACGTGATGAACTGAAACTCCTCTAAATTCGTCATTTTAAGCAAAAACATTATTGATGGCAAGAATAATTTTGCTATTGTTCTTTTCTTTAAGGATAAACTTGATATTACTGGCAACTGCAAAGGGAGTAGCTTTTGTAACAACTGTGAAATCTTTTAAGTCTTCTTCCATATCATTATCTTCAATATATTCATCAGGGTCCAAAAGTTTTGACCTATCTTTAGATAAAGAAGAGTTTTTAGAGATATTATCAACTTTTATGTTATTATTATTATTGTTATTCGAAGGCAGAATAACTGGTGAAATTTTGTTAATAATAGCAATTTTAGATACGTCAAAAACTTCAAAATCCATTTCTTTATTTGGTAGTGAGCTAGAAACTTCTTGAAAAATTTCTAAATCAAGGTTTATGGGAACTGAAGTTGAGGTTGAAGAAGACGAAGAAGCTGGTATAGAACTAGCAGCTTCTTTTAGAGCTTTTGAAGTGATGTATGAAATGAACTTAGAATTACTTTTTTTTTGTTTTGCAGTGCTTTTATGCATTATAACTCTCTCGCATAAGTAAGAAGATAGAGTAAAATAAAAGAAACCTTCTTTATACTGGATTTATTAATTAATTTTTTGTTAAAAACAAACTTTTAAATTTTTATTTTTTCTATGAAAATTTTGGTTATATAAAATAGTGGAGAGAGTTTTTTTTTATTCCAATATTTTTTTTTTTTTTTTTTTATTGATGTGGCTTTGCCAACTATTTTATTAAGATTTATAGATTTTTCCGAAAAAAATAAAAGAAATTACAAGTAATGAAAAACAAAACAAAATAAAACTATCTAATAATTTAGACTAAATGTTAGCTACCTCCCGATAATAGAATATGTAAACATACCTATCTGTTTAGGTTGACTTATCATCATAAATTTCCTCCTTTAGACCCAAAGGAACTAGCCTAATGACTACTAAATTCATCAAGAAAAGAAAAAGAATATGTCAGAGCCGGTTTAAAAATCTGACCATTTATATTCATACAGTGGCTTCCAAAAGAAACGCAAGTGGCATTGCTTGCCTTTAAATGCCTGTAACTCACTGTGCACGAATGCT